ATCCGTTGCTGCCTCAATCGCCTTAAAATCAAACTGAAGTGAGCCTGCAGTTGTAATATCATCCTTGCCTGTATAACCAATATCAACAAGATGAGAACACAACAATAATAATCATTTGATCTAAAGAAAGGGGAGTTTTCCACCTTCAGCTAGTGGTTCCATCTCGTAAACCGTCTTTTTTCTCTTAGCCCGGAAAACAAAAACAGCTACGAAAAGAAGAAAAACTGCAGTGACTGGAACAACAACAGCCAAGATTATGACAGACGAGTTTCCGCCTTTTCCTGTATTCTCAAAAACCGGTGGTGGGGCTGAATCCAGCTGCAGTTGGGGTCTTCCAATGGCGGTTTCGTTGTAGAACAGGTAAAGCTCGTATCTTGAACTACAACTCGGCACAATAAGTCTTCCACCGATCTTGTCGGTAGGTAACTGATTGATGCTAAGTTGTAGACACTCCAAACATTCTTGACTCGTCAGATCAGGAGTGCACTGAGCCAGTCCGTACAAGTTTTGTAACGCGGAAAAATTGGCTTTTCTCGCATGGAATCTTCTGGAACTGTTGGATGCCTCGGTTGCTAATTGGTTCATCGTGGACAGGACCAAATCTATGAACCGGTCTTGTTGGTTTGATGTAAAATTCAGGGGGTTAAACAAGATAATGCCTCCATTCATTGAAAAGTCCATGAGAATATTCCCGTCAGAGTATCTGAGCATACACTCATCGTAATAGAGCGTGACCGTTCTCTCATTCGGACACAGATTTAAGGTGTCCTTGGCGGCAAAGACTACGCATTCACGACAGACTTCCTGCGAGACATCTCCGCGGCACAGGAAAAGCCCGAATACCACGTCAGGGGTCTGACCTGCAGCGGTGCTGTAGAATCCACTGGAAGAAGATCCACTGTTGGAAGAAAGAGAGATTAAAAGGCTTTTGAGATTAGTGGAGTAACTGCTATATTTTGAATAAGTTGTTGCGTTAGGACAAGTATGGTATATGTAAGTTGGGTCTTGTTGCTGTGCATAAGATATGAAGCTTACAAGGAAGGCAAGAAGGAAAAGAGAACAAAACGAAGCATAAGACATATTCCAATTATTCTCTTCTTCTCTGTTTTTTTGTTTTAATGTTTTGATAAATGCCAATCAATACTTTCTCTGTAAAAGAATGCAATTTCTTGCAAACCAACGTCAACGTCAACGTCAACGCCAACTTGTTCTTGGAAAGTACCGTCAACTTGATCAACTATTACAATGAGGAACATTCCAACAAGAAGGATACCTTTCTCTTTAACCCTACTAATCAAACACCTTTTCTATAATTAAGGGTTAATCGGGGATTTACATTGATACGTATAGCATGGGCTCAATCAGTTATTACTGGAAGAAAAACAAGAGCATTATTTTTTCTTTTTTGAATTATATGTCAAAATTAATTTAAAGAAAAAACTTGTTTACATCAAATGCTTCTTTGTTCTGAGTTTTTGATTAAAAAAAAAAACTAGCCTAGAACAGA